TGTGATATAATCTGTTATTAGCTTTAGCGGGCGTTTTGTAAGGCTTGGTGAATCTTTAGCCTTAGCATGAGAATCTGTGGACACATATGATTTCAATCTTCTTAGCGCCAATGAGACAGCACATTTTAAAACTGATAAAATACGATCTGTAATAAAAAAAAACAAACCTACAGGTGACACTTATTTAAACCAATCAGAAAAGAGCTTCATAACAATTACATGATTTGGTCGTTTCCCTGTTCTGAGTGTAGTTAACACACTGCAGGTGTAATTTCCCAGCTTACTCTGAAGCTAAACACACATGACAGCTATTGAAATTAACACCAGTGAGCACCAGTCAGAGTGAAATAAGCTCAAAGACTTGATAGATACGCCTGTGACGGACTGCTTTAATTTCTCAGCTTCAAGAGTTTTCGATTTTACCACTCTCACAGTAAATCAGTTCAGATAACTGCTTATATTTTCTATGTGATGAGTGGACGTACTAAAGGCAAAGACAGGAAAGTTCAGCTTACAGAATCCAGACTTCTACAAAGGCTTCCATAATGAAGACTATAGGAAATTAAACAGCATCCAAATAAGTGAAGGTCTGATTTGTTAAAGACGAGGTATGGATGGTAGCTCGAGCTGGCACAGGACAGAGCCAACTTTCCCTCCTACCCTTCCTCTTCTTTTCCCGTCCATCTGTGCATTTGGGATATGATCAAGTGTGGGAAACTGGGGTTTCTTTGCAGCGGGATGTTGTGGATGATTTGTCCCTCCTCCGGATTCTTGGGAGCTTCTGTTTTCTGGGGTGTGTTGTGTGGTTGGGGTTAGTGTTCAGGAGTATAACTGATTGTTTAATTTGTTCCTGCTTTCGGCCTCTGTGTCGAGAGTGTGTGTGGAGGCATGTTTTTGTGGTTTCTCCATGTGGAGCCTGAAGAATCTAGGTCTGGGAAAAAAATCAGATAAGAAAATCTAAGTGCAAATGTTCATTTACATGCAACAGAAATGTCTTAATCTGTGGTGAACTCACCGGACGCATTTCCCGACTGTGTGGCAGTTGTTCCATTGGATCCTCCTCCTCCTCCTCCTCTTCCATCAACATACTGTGATGGAGCAGGACCAGAGTTAGGACAACAAGGACATAGAGTGCTGTAGGAATGAGTCCTGAAACCAGGAAGTGAGCTGGCATTTTTGCACTCTGGAAATTTTTAACGTTTTATCTTGTGCCATAAAAACATGTAAGAAAAATCACGTGGTCCTTACCAGGTTCCCAAATGATTTAAACAACGCGAAACGAACAACACCCCGTCTTTATTTATTTAACAAAAACGAAACCAAAGTCCCGACAGAAGGAGCGTGTGAGAGAAACCGAGTCCAGCTGGTGGACGGACGGCCTCGCACTCGTCCCTGGAAGACTTTGGTCTAAGAGGAGCTCGTGGTCGACTCAGTGGAATTCACTGTCGACGCTCACAAAGTAAGATTACTGGCCACAGCGTAGCAACAAAAGAGCTTTCCCCTCGCAGACGTCTGCGGCTGTCACAGCGAGTCAGTGGTCGTGGTGGTATTATGGTTGCTTGACCTTTCATGGTAAATTTGGGTGGTTTAAAATGAAGCGCTAATTTGGTTATTTTGCCCTTTTGTGCCTCGTTGCCTCTGCACTTCTGCTGACAGCCGGCCCTCCAACACATCAGCACATATCCACGGTTTAATGTGTTTGTCTAAGCTCACTGCAGCATACTGAGATTGTTTTTTGAAACATCCTAATCCAATCAGGGTTTTGCAGGTAACTCTCACGAACATATAAAAAGCCTTAATAATCTTAATCTCTTCCTGACACTGCACAGCAGCGGTCAGTCTTAATCTGCAGAGACAGCGCTGTGATATTGGAAACAAAAGGTCAGCGCTTCCCTGCGTCACTTTAAAGAGCTGTTTCGCTTTTTAAATGGAGGCAGCGCACGTCTGTTTCCCTTTCATCTGAACTAAAATAAGTCTTTATTCACTTTTTGGTTGTTGTTTTGTTCCCTGCGTTCGTCTCTGCCAGTTTGCATTCATTGTGACGTTTCTCAGTTAAAACTAGAGAAGGCTGCGTGGAGTCCTTGAAGTTTTTATATTTGAATGAACATCAACGTTTCCATTTAATCATTTAAGTAACATCCTGCAAATGCAATAAACAGAGGAGCAAATGCTACAGCTGAAAGTAATCATTAGTATTCTGGATTTTGGTATGAATTTGTTTTTGCCTTGCATCTTTATTTCAGCTCCACATATGCAGCAAAAGTCTTTTTGTAGAGATTTCAGATAAAAACAAAAATGATTTCTGTCACATAATCGATTATTTTCATCTGTCCCACCCAGCCTGGCTCTAATGAGCCAGCATCACTGTCTCTGCCTCCCTTTTGATTCTTCATAATTAGCCAGTTATGGCTCATAATTGGAAACTAATGAACTGTGGCAGGTATTGCATGCAAGTTAGTTTCTACTGATGGGAGAGAGAGAACAAAGAGCCAGTTCATACCACTGCTCCGCTCACGTCATAGGCGTTGCTGCTGCTCCTGTAAACGACAAGAAGGAAAAGTGGAGGTCATTAAGCCGTATGATGGCATGCTGCTGTAGATTTGTTCCTTATCCACACAGAGTGCAAACAAAGGAGCAGAGTCCTATTTACATGCCAATGTGCCATTTTTGTTTTATGGCTCAAAACTCTGTCCATGTGTCATCGTTTTTTTTCTCTCCTTCTACCTTTTCATTAAACATATCGACCACGACTTATAAGTGCATAGATTTACCAGTCCCATTGTCCACAGCTGTGTGCTCGCTCTCACAGCCCAGCCCCAAATCTGAGAGGGCTGCTTGGACCACGAGGGCTAAAGCTAAGCTCAGCTGAGGGCGGGATACATTCCTCATTTAGCTGCTTGAATCGGGCCAAACTCATGAAAAACTTTGATCAGAATAAAATGAATTGGAAATTTAGCTTCTCTGGAAAAACGTCAAAATCACTCGGACTGGTTTCAGATTGCTTTGAGAAAAATTGTCCTTCATAGTTTGTTACACTTGCATTCTTCCTAGTAGCCAGCAGGTGGCGACAACTCAGAACAGAACAAGTCAGAAAAGACAAAAACCATGGAAAACTATACCAGTGGCTAACAATGTGTCAGTGAAACGCTGCTAGCAGATCCAGATCCAGACTTTTCTCGTCATGTCCAGTTTCAGAGAAAGTGATGGCAAAAACACCCATGCAGATGTCCCATCTTTTATATACAGTCTATGGAAATGTAAGACTTGAGGCCAGATTTGGACTTGCTGGTACAAATTTGTGAAAGCTTTAATGTACTTTGGTAAAACTGGAGTCTGGATTCTGCTCGACCTGTCTCACGTTTTGGGACTGAACAAAGACGTCCGACTGCACTGAAATGTGTCTCGAGGAGTTGAGGCTTTCTCCAGATGTGCCTCGTGGGTTTCTAAAAAGCAGCTTGTCTAAGATCACGCACTGATCTGATCATCTATCGTTCTAAAATTTCCACATGTATCAGTCCTGTGAGGATGTGAGACCATATGTACACAACTCAATCAATAAACAATAAATTATATTGGTGCCAGATTGTTGCTACGCTTTATGTAAACAACCACTCATCGTGATGTTCCTGTTCAAGTCCAACTCTTCTAAATGAAAAAGCAGCAGGTGATACGAGTGTTGTTTCGCCTCGCAGTTCGTCACTGTTATGTCTGGCATGTAAACCACAATGATGGGCGTTTAAACACATGCACACACTAATGTGTGTAAAACTCCCGCCAGGGAGCGCACACACACACACACACACTTATCGAGGTCATTAGGGTAGTGACGCTTTATGAGCCCAGCCCATTTGGTGCAGCTGCCAGATCACAGAGTGATTTCTGTCTGCGTCTTCCTCTTTCAACGGGCAACACCCTTCATCAGAAACCAGCTATCGGGTCTGACAAGCTTTGGGAGAGTGATGAATGGTGAGCAAAGTCTACAGGAAAATGAAGTGAGAGCCAACTAAAACCAGACTGTGTTGGTCAGGTCCCCGGACTCTGCTCCTGGCTCCTTTAATTCCCAGCATATTCCAAGCTTTTTAAGCAGGTAAACAACAGGAAAAGAGACAAAAGCATCCGAATGGATGTCCCATTTCATCGGCACACATTGCTCACCTGTTACACTTGGCACAAAGAGCCACAAGAGTGACGCTGAGGACGAGGAAGGCGACGAGGGAGATGACGCCCACCTCTGGAGAAAACCAACCCAGCACACCGACCATCCCAACTGGAGCCATTCTTGAAGTCTCCTATAAAGAAATAAAAACACAACAACATTAAAGGAGCTGTGAAGTAAAGTTCACATGCACACAGTGGATCCTAGCTATGTGAAACTCCTGTGAAAGAACCATAACTATACACTGTAAGGCAAAATAAACTAAAGGGCTCACAGCTTACGTCGCGTGCTGCTTGGCTCTGTAACTGTCACCAGCTGCTCGCAGTCATTCAACTGCCTCTGCTTTATGTGGCTCAAAGCATTCAAACAAGTTAGGGAGGGACCAGTTATCCAGTCTGTTATGAAGGAGGTGCTCGCACAGCCCATAAACAACCTATTGTCTCGTTCATTATCTCTGAATAACACTTGCGTCTGTCATGCCTACACATTCCAGAAAAGCTGGAATGTGCATTTTATCGGAAAACTCCTGTCTGACTTATTTAAAAGATAAAATAGATGAATCGATACAGGAAGCTGTAGTGTACAAACGATAATAAACAAAAGCAGCTGTTTCCTAGAAAACACTGCAGGTGGTCACAGGCCAGCAGCTGCTTCAACCTCTAATCTTTACGCACTTTAACTATACAGTCATCTTCAAGCTATGGTAATACAGTGTTTTGTGTTTTTTAACTCAGGACCGCCACAGGCACAAGAAACGTGTTATTTAAATGTGCTGTATTTTGTCGGTGACATGGCTCTGTTCTGGGGATATGTGGAAAGATCCCAGCACAGAACCATGATGACAGGGTCAAGGCATGAGGAGGAGGAGGTGGTGGTGGTTTGGGCGAGGGGGTTGCAAAGTGGCTTGCAGTGCAACTGTAGAGTACATAAAGCAGATAAGCAGCTTATTTCCTATATGAGGTTTTCAGCAAAGACGTTAACAGTGATGCGATGATGTGTGCGATCAGACTTTTCATATAATCCTGTCGACTCTGGGGTTTCAGAGGATATACTGTAAACAGCCACAAAAAGACACACACATGCTAGTTTCTCCATGTTTCTCACTGTACCGGCAGCTGATTGGCTCTGGCAGGTGAAATTATTCCCACAAAGGGTGTATTAGACAAAAAAAGGATCTTTGTTCTAATGCAGAGCACTGTCTGGACCTGGATCCAGACTGAAGGGATTATTGTGCTTTTGCAGGCTGCAGTCTCAGCTGTGCTCGTGGAATTACAAAGATTAATTTGAAAAGGGTCAAGACTTAGTTTCATGACTAAGGGCTCATACCGTAGAGTAACTCCTGGAGCAGTTATCAGACCAGCTGAATGGTTGCGCACATGAACGGGTACTTCCTGTTAGGCAGCAAGTATAACCAGAGCATGGTGTGGAATTACAGTGTTTAATGGTTCCAGTACAGTCGAGTGACGGTCCTACATTTGTCCAACACATATGATCCAGTTTGACACACACACAAACAGGATATGCCACCTTTATGAAAGTTTGACATAAACAAGTATTCAGAGAATTGCAGTGGTGTTCCCCAGCACTTGCACAACACCCACACGTCCTCGCCTCACCACCCCGACTCGCATATCTTTGTGAGGAATGACACGAACACCAAGCAACGCGCCCACACCCATTACCTGTTTAACAGCCCCATCCTGTCACGATGACCTCCCGGAGCCCCGCTCAACAGGCAGTCTGTACCTCTCAGCAATTTTCCTTTTGCTGATATTCACATGAGATATGCTCAGCAACACAAAGTGAAATCTACAGCCACTCTTCCACAGCATTTCAGGTATTTGGACCATAGCCACGAATGCAGCAAACAAATAACTCTCTTTGCTTCCATTGGAAGAATACTAAGTGTAGAAGATTACTCATCATCATTGAATCTCTGCATACAGAGCTCATGAACAGGCTGCTGGGACACATATTTAGGTTATGTATTTCAAACGACATATACTTAATCGCTTTCGTCCTGAGACTTCCAGCAGAAAGATCGAACAAGTTCAGAATCGTTTGGGAAAAAGGCCCAGTTGTGCCCAAGAGCTACAAAACCTGCCCAGTAGCACTTTTAAAGGATGCAGTGTGAAGTTTGTCATGTGGAGCATGTTTACTGTGCACAGGAAACGTGAACAGACATAAAGACCCATCCAAAGGAGAAATCAGCACCGAGTCTTTATGAATCTGCTTTGGGACAGAGCTCAGCTAACCTATCACAGACAAGTCTACATGCTAGACAGCCAGTGCACTCACAATCAAATGAATACAGGTAAGGAATCAAATATTGTTCACTGCTGCTAAACGTGGACTTTCAACCTCAAAAGTAACCCAACAAGAGGAAACCACCGTACCCAGCCAGGGTCCAGCACACAAGCCTGTTAACAACTGCAACTTTTCATTCATACTGTCCTTTTCTAAGAAGTCAAACAACCACATATAAAGTGGTGACTCACTGAACCTGACCTTTGTTACCTTTGGACAAAGTCGACTCCCTCCTCTTTGAGATAAGCTGACAGTAATGAGGGTGGCATGAATTTTCTAATAAAACTGGAGTAGCAGAGCCTCACAAAATGTGGAAGTATCCCTTTAAAAGGAGCCTGACTCGCTCCCATTCTGGGCCGTCCCGTAAACTCTCACAGGGGGAAACTTTCTTCACATAATAGATACAAAAGGTGCGGCCGCAGCCTCAAAGTGCTCGACATACAGTCTGTGTAGCGGAACAAAGAATGGCCGAAACCTCAGATACAATAACCTACTTTCCTCAATGGGAACAAACAGGGTCGACAAGATATAGTGTTTAGCTTCCATTGTAATGCCTGTAAACACACGTCGCTCACAGCCCGCTCCACACAACCTCCAAAGTTTATCGTGTTTCTGGTCTCTCACGTGAATTTCAGACGAGGACAAAAGCGCGTTAAGTTGATCTTCTCTGGACGGGATCTACAGTACAAATGTTTGTGTTCTCGATACGTTTCCAGCAGCATCCAGAGACTATTTTAGGTTATCGTGCTCCTGGATTACTCTGAGCCTCTGTGACCAGTTACATGGGAGGGTGACTCACTGTGGAAAACTTCACTCAGCTGTACTTAGCAAATTATGGCAACTATTTCTTTCATGAATCAGCAGTTAAATCTTCAGATATACCAGACCGGAAGAAGTTCCAGAGTATTTTATTCTTCAAGTATTTCCGTGATAAGATAGTCTTTTATCTGAATCTTTTAGACAAAAGTAAATATATGTATTTGGTTTTGTTATTAAAATAATTATGATTTGCTCTTTGATTTTTCTTCGTTGCGCTCTCACTCGTCTTTACTCTGCAGTGCCTTGCTCATACGCCTCATTGCGATCAGCGCCGTCAGGATACAGCACACGAACAAGACGGGGAAGGATACGCACGCCCACCACAACTGCCGCTCCCCAAATAACTCCACCACTGTATCCCTCCGCCGGGCGTAGTCCTGGAACAAAGCCTACAGCTGGGACAAGGTGCACAGGGACAGAAGCACGTGGAAGATTTGGTGACCCTGGCCTACAAAGTCACAGTTGCCTGGAAAGAAGGGCTCAGGGATGGAGCAAGAGAAGAAGAGGGCAGACAAGAGGAAACAGGCAATCTGGAGAGCGTGGAAGGGTAGCGAGGGCTCCTGTGACCAGGAGACAGTGAGCAGGCGGTGGGCTACGGGGCTGATATCCAGCACGTACGCTAGGCCGGTGGGGATCAGCTGGCACACTTTACGCTGAGGTGGATATGGCCGCCTGTACCTGAACTTGGCGTAACAGCAACCCGTGCAGGAGAGCCACCCAAAGAAGGCGGCGCCAGGCAGAAAGATTACCCCAACGCGTTCTCGCCACGCTGGCTCAGACGCGTAGAAATAGTGGCCGAGCGAGCACCCATACTGATACAGGCCACACCCACGTAGTCCAAGAAGAAGAAGTAGTGCGCGCGTTCGGAGTGAGATTGCAGGAGATGAGCCGCCGCACTGAGGTACAGATATGTGAGAGATGACACCAAGAACAGGAGCAGAGGTAGCGAGGTAACGTCATCCAAGGTGCACCCCAGGGTGTCTACATTGGCCCACCAGCGGAGCAGCAGGACAGGACCGGCCAGCAAGTGGGTCCACACGTTCAGGGACTCATTATGTTTCTGGAAGAGGCTGAGGAGGTAGCAGCGCCAGTCTTGCTGGACAGGACGGCATCCTGACAGGATGTAGGGTTCCCGGAACAGGCTGGGTACCTGGGAGGCAGTGACGGTGGGGCTGGGCGGCGGTAAAGAGAAAGGGAGGAAGTCTGAGAGGTGAGGGAGACGACGCAGGTGCTTGGTGCTCAGTGCTATGGTGCTGAGCCGCTGCAAAACCTCAGTCGACATCTTGATGATGAAGAACCAGAGGACAGAGCACCCTGTGGGAGAGATTAGATTAATGCAGGCTTTAAAGCAGAGGACTCAACGCGTTAAATTAAACCTCACAGGAGCACGCGGTGCGCTTTGATGTCACATTCAGAAGACATTTTTAGATGTGGATCAGCGGCAGGAAGCTGGGGATAAGATACAAAACAAAACAGATGAGGGGATCAAAAATCTCACAAAACCAGCCAAAAACATGCCAACAGAGACTGGTTTGGAAAACTCTGGAACCAAGCTGCTGCAGTGGCAGTGTTTCCACTGTTGGTCCAGGCTTGGACTTCTGTGACATTCCAATTAAGAGCTTTCAGTCGCCAAAAGAAAAACGGCCAACAGGAGACCTTTAATTACGTAAGCCAGACATTCTTCTCTTTTTGTGTCATGTGCACCGGAAAAGCAGCTATGCAGTCAAACCTGTAACCATCACCCACCTGTGGTGGGAGGAATGTTGTCACAAAGCAACCCAGCACCTCCGCAGACAGCACGCACACCCGCCCATCCAGAACGCAGCTTCTGAATCTCCTCCTAAAAGGGTGCGCCCCCCTCTGTTTCCCCTTGACCATGAACACCGGCACCCATTTAGAGCTTCTGAACGGCCTTTTGACCTGAGCCGCTTTCTGTGAGGAGCCCATTCAAGTTTGTCCAAGGTAACCCCGCATTAAAAAAAGGGAAAGAGGGGTAAGACGTCTCTTTTTTTTTACCATTAAAACGAAGAAGCTCCGTGAGCCACACAGAAAAAATAGACTGCACTTCTTCCATCATATATGCATTTATATGACGACAGAAAAAAGAAACATACCTGCAACACAGGACACCTGTTGCCCGTCTGGACTCACGCGTCACTCCAAGAAGGTGGAATAAGACGTGTGCAGCAGCGCTTCTTCTCATACAAACACAGGGGGAGAACTACCACATGCTGGTTTAACGAGGTGTTTCCGACGCTGCAGGGCGAAGGGAAAAGGCTTCAAACTACTGACCTGAGAGGCCGGAGGGGTGGGCGGGGTCAAAGTGACCAGAAACGCCCTCAAATGTAGTCGCCAACGCTTTGAGGGCTGTGACTGTTACACTCCGGAGCTCAGTGTGCCCGCAGTGTCTGCACTCACCTGCTCATTAGAAGACCAGTTTATCGGCACACTTATTAAAACACGTGTTGTTATTATTTTTATCTGGATTGTTTTTGTTTGTGATCATTAATTATTATTAAGTTGCCAATAATTGTTTAAACGACTGAAGGCACATCATGGCCAAAGTCATACCGTATACATGCACGTGTGTCTCCATCTACTGTTCTGCACTGCGCACTGCACTAATGCGGTTTGCACTCAGACGTAATGAGAATGTGACAGTATCCTGGTAACCTGAGGTGATCACATGTCCAACTTTATGTGGCCAACATCTTTAACCAAAATCAGGTCTTATTTGCTGTTATTAGTTGAACTTATTAGTCCAAGCGCCATGTTTCCCACCTTTATAATGTCTATGATGGTTTCTCCCTCACACCCAAACTCTAACCAGTGAGTGTAACAAGACTCATAAGACCACTACAGATATTATTGTATTTGGTGAGGGAGTTGCACTCACGTTAAATCTTTGTCCTACATGTGATCATGCTGAATCGGTTATAGCAACATTTTCCACACCTATGCCTCGGAGCACAGGTGTGAAGTTCCAGGGATTACAGTCAGTGCTGTGAAAACGTTTTTGCTCCCTCCCTGATTCGTGTTTGCATTTTTGTCACGTTTGAGATCATCAAACTAATATTAGACATAGATGGCCAAATACAGAATGCAGTTTATAAATGATGATTTCATTTATTAAGCAGAAACAAAATGCTATCCAAACCCGCCCTTTATTAAAAACTAAGTGCCCCCTGGTGAGTTCACTCTCGTTAACCACACCCAAGCCTGACTAGCAGGTGACCCAGCCCTACTGCCAGACCTGTCGAAGAAATCACTTAAACAGAACCTATCTTACAAAGTGAAATAGGATAAAAGATATCAAAACCAAACAAAAACCCACGTCAAGCCATCACCTAAAGAAAGTCATTAACACGCAAAGGTTAAAAAGCATTTTCTAAGGCTTTGGGACTCCAGAGAACCACAGGTCATGAAGGTCATTAAATCCAAATGGAGAAAACTATAAACAGTGGCCAGGAGTGGCCCACCTACCAAAGTTGCTCCAAGAGCATCAGCGACTCATCCAGGAGGTCACAAAAGAACCAAACAAACATCTAAAGAACTGCAGGCCTGACTCACCTCAGTTTAGGTCAGAGGTCATTCAACACCGGGCAAAAACGGCATCCATAGAAAGGAAGTATTTCAGTGCTATTGCTAACTACTTCTAAGCTAATGTTGTGTTCAGCCTTTACAATACAGATGAGACGTGCATGATCCCTAAACCTCGTCCCCAAACACACAAGTGTCTGCTGTACCTCAGCCCTCCTGAGATAAGTGACAGATCAACATTTGGTAAGTTCCCCAGACAAAAGACACAAAACAGCCGGCTATGAGATGGAATTATAAACTCACTGAAAACCAAGCAATCAAAAAATAGGACAGAACAGGGAATCACGCCCACATTTACACTAGAGGGACAATATTAAATGAAAAAGATGAAGAATTCTGCAGAAATGACATGCGTGATGCTCAGAATTTGTTGGCTTGATGTGTCGTCCTCGTGCCCCACAAACATGTTTTTGGTTTCTGGCCACACTTTGGTAATTTGACACTAAAATGATTCCTGCGAAATTTCAACCCTTTAGAAACAGTAAATGATTTTGGTGAGGAAATGATGATCACAGGAGAAGAATTAAAATAGCATGATCCAAATATAGGATAATCTTTTGAGAACCTATTAGTCAGTGCATGATGCCAGCATTCAGATTAAAAAAAGGAAAAAGTAATTATTCTGATTATAATACCGATGAGATATTCGTGATTGCAGAGTGGACCAAATATAGCAGGTGAAATTACATTTAAAGGACTTAAATGGGTGTTGATGCTGATGAAAGACATAAAACAGTCTGTGATGATAGATAAAACATGTTTCAAATTCAAATTTTATTTGTCACGTACACAGTCATACACAGTACGATATGCAGTGAAATGCTTGGACAACTGCTCGTGACCTAAAGAAAAAAAAAGGAAAGGCTATGAATAAGATAGGAAATAAATATGAAAAATTAAAAAGGGTAAATTTAACTAGGAAGGAATAAAATATAAATTAAGGTTAAAAATGAAATAACTGTACAACACAAATTAGAATGAAGGGTAAATTTAACTGGGAGAATAAGATAAAATATATAAATTAAAGTTGAAAATAAAATAACTGTACAACAAAATACACAATATAGAACTATATAAGAATGTATGAAGAAATATAAATAAATATATACACAATAACAGCAGCTGTACAAGTATTAACTGGAATGAAGAATATAGTGTCCAGTGTTGTGCAATCCACATTATGTCTTGTGCAGTGCAAATATGCTTAAAGTGATTTAAGTGATGAAGTGAAAACAAAGTCCAGAAAGTCCAGTGTGTGTGTAAGAACCATGTGTGGGTCAGTACTGTGTGATTGTGATTGAGAGACCGTATCGCCTGCGGGAAGAAGCTCCTCCTCAGTCTCTCTGTGTTGGTCTTCAGGGAGCGGAATCGCTTTCCTGACCTCAGCAGAGAGAACAGTCTGTTGTTGGGATGGCTGAGGTCCTTCACCATCTTCCTGTCTTTGTTCCAGCACCGCCTGCTGTAGATTGAGTGCAGGTCAGGGAGCTCGGAGCGGATGGTGCGCTCAGCTGATGTTATTCACACCTGAAATGCAAAGCAGTGCAGATTAGAAGGTATTTGTAAAAACTAGCAGGCAAAACAACTGGTAAAGACATTAACCTTGTATATAAAATGTATAGAAGTCCATTACTGTATATAGTAACTGTTAAGTCTAATATACCCCAGTAAGCTATAGTACTTTTTCCTTTGGGAACCATCTGTTCAGTTCTGTTGAAGAAAGATGTTGAATCTATTTAATTATTCTTGAAAAATAATTGATTTCTGTGCATTTTTTTTCACATTGCATCAAATTAAAGTTGATTACGTCGATTAAGCATCATGAGGTGGAGGGTGGTTCCCTTTTTTTTTTTTCTTGCTGGGAGTTTGCAAACCTATTAGTTAAGTTGCTTAATATTTCTGCTAAGTACTCTTTAAAACACCAGAATAGGAGGATGTTGCAGGTTTGAGTTTATTAGATTGATCAGTTTTGCTGAACTATGAAATATTTTGGGTGCAGTGTATTTTTTGCATACAGGTATAACAGAATAGCTTTAGTGTTTTGTTTTGTTTTTTAAACTTGAGTATAAACCTATACAAAAGCAAGATATTTAAAAAACAGTTTTATTGATTAAAAACACACTATATCGGATTCATATCAGTATCGGCTGATATCCAAATTTATGATATCGGTATCGGACATACAAAAGTGGTATCGTGCCATCTCTAATTGGAACTAATGAATTTTTCCAAAATGTAAACTCCAGATCATGAAAATCATCAAGTTCCTTGAAGTCTATAATGTTTGGTCAAAGCACAGATGTCCACATAAAAATAAAAAATAAAATACTGAAAATAGTATATTACTATTTATTATTATAGTACACAGTATGTATGCAAGTTATTATTGTTCATTTTCAGTCTTATTTTATATGAAAACTTTTAATTAAATGCAGATTGTCTGAAATGATGCTTAATGTTTATCAGTGGAAGAGTAAAATGTAACTTTAATTTGAAAGAACACATGCATGCTCCATTTGTCGTTCTTCTTAATAAAAGTCTTGCTATGTTTTCTTATTACTGTTTACATATTTGGCACTAACAGCTTTCTCTTAAAAGCTTCAAATAAATGCAAAAGTCCCACTAAAAAATGTAAATGTGTGTTTATGTCGCCATCTGCTGGGCAAACATGAAAAAAAATCCTTTTGTTCATTTTTAGCAGCCTGCCACTTCCTGATGGGTTTTCGCGGGAGTTTCTCAGGGGGGCGGAGTCACGTGGTAACACGAGGCCCGCATTGGACAGTTGCACGTTTACCCGCCGACTATGTAAAGCGGTGCGTGCCGAATTGACCAATCGCGTGTCACGCTGAGCTCGCGGGCGGCACGTAGTGGCGCGAAAACCCTTCAGTTGTGCGGCTTGACTGAAGCGGAGCACTCGGAGCGGAAGGCTGTGCGGCATTTTACCGACTTTTCAGCAACAATAATAAGGCGCGCATAATGGCAACCGACGTGGGAGATGACCGGGAGATGAGGGAGGCTCAGAGGGACTACCTGGACTTTCTGGACGACGACGTAAGTCTGTTTTTTAAATTCGCTTAAAGTCTTTGTTTGGAGCTCAGATGACAAACCATGCGGTCACAACAAAAGAGCTGTAATTTTGTA